GCTGGGTTGGGGAGATTAGAGAACACAGAAGACATGAGATCATCAAAGAGATGTTCTGGAAAATTCCCTAGATCTGAAAGATAGGAATCTCAAATTCGAAGGGCCACTGAGTGTTGGGTTGTAAATTCACAGTGAAATGGAGCCGCAGGGCTTCTAGAGACCAGACCACACTCCTCCTCTCACTTTGTTCAGGTGCAAAGTAGGTGTTCCCTGCACCTGGCTTTTGACCCCAAGCCATGTGGGACCATCTCAGTTGGCAACAGCAGCAGGCGGGGCTGAAGGTGTTCACCTCAACTGAACCTCTGCCAGCCACCACTGGCCCCTGACCCCAGGCCCACCTGACCAGTGCTCTGAAATCAACCCTTTACTCCTTCTGTTAGGCAGGAAGTGAAGTCCCACAGTGTCCAGTCACAGCCTGATCTTGCAATACGGGACGTGGGTGGACGAGCTAATCCAGTCTTTGAGATGCATGTCTTTGACATGCATATCTGTCTAAAGTCAGGTCTCATTCCTACACAAACAGTATTTAATGGAGGCCCTTTAGATGAAGTATAATGGTCCAGTATTAGAATAAATTGGGATCCCATGTGCCCTTTCCCCCTTCTTCCTCTTCTTAGTAAACACGCCTCCTTTCCCCCAGCTGCTCAGCGGGAAGCCTAAGGACAGTTCCTGGAGGGCAGCCTGTGTCCTGGAGTAGGACCTGGCATCTGGGACCAGACTGCCAGTTCACCTGGGGCTCACCACGCTGCAGCTCGGGCTGGCTCCTCCCTCCTGGGGCCAGGCTCTTGCTCAGGTGAAGGAGGCTGGCAAGGACCGGGGCTTAGATTCAGCAGTAAGAACAGGCCTAGCGTGCAGTAAGTTTGGTTGTAAGGAAGTGTGACTGCTGTTGCCTCTCCAGCCCCTTGATCAGCTAAATGTCCAGAATACAGCTCCAACCGACCCTTCCCACCCCACTACCCTGGCTCACACCACCATCATCTCTACATCGCCACCTGGCTGCTGATGGGTACACAGAGGCCAGATGTATGGGAACCTCTGAAGTCTCCCAGCTCAGCCACAGTGACAACTGATGTCCTGACATGGCCACAGGTACTGTGTGACCTGCCCACTGCCTCACAGATCTCAGCTCTTTCCACTGCCCTGCTCACCACACTTTAGCCACACTGGCCTTCTTTATGTTCCTCCAAGTGTGCGAGCTGTTTATGCCTCAGACCTTTGCATGGGCTGTCCCTTCACCTGGAGTGTTTCTTCCCCAGACCTTGGCCTGCTGCTTTGGACATGGTCTGAGTTCAGATCTCCTTCTCAGAGAGGCTTCCCTGCCGGCTCTGGCCCAGACACCCCAGTACCCAGTACAGGCTTCTAATGGCCATGTCCTCAGTGCCTAGCACACAGCAGCTCTGTAGATCTGAGCAATGAGCCCTGCCTCTCCTATGGAGGCAGCTGAGCCCAAGCCATGCCTTTGTCCTACAGGTGTGTGTGATGGAGCCCAACAGTATGGAGTTCACCCCGTGCCAGGTGGCGGCACGTGTGGGCCAGGCCCTGGAGCTGCCCCTTGAGGATCAACGGAGTCATGCCCGGCAGCGCTCAGGGTGAGGTGGTCTCCCTGAGTGACTACTCCCACTTTGATTTGGCAGTGGATTTGTACTCTGGAGTATTGAAACCACTTATGTGCATGGTGCTCCCCCACAGCTCTGTGGATGCTGGCTCTTCGGGTCCCATCACTGCCAGGTATGGAATGTCCTGTCCACCTCCCTGATGTGGCCATGAATGCCTATGGTCTCCCCCTCACCTGCCACTCACACCAAGGACAGGACTGGGGGCTAAAGGGTGTTTCTGAAGAAGGCTGGGCTCCCGGGGCTGTGCTGGCCCCGAGTTCTCACCTTCATCTCGCCAAAGTGGAGCGGGTTCTGGAAGTCATGTGCCTGAATCACGCTGAGTCCAGTGTCACTGCCTGTGGTCATCATGCCCTTGATGGTGACTGTGGCAACCGTGTAGCTTGACGAAGATCGGCTAAAGTTCCCACTGCCGCCGTGGGCCTAGGGAGAACCAAACACCACTGCATCACAGGGTCAGCCACCTGTCAGCCCCTGCGTGGGGTCAGAGACAAGTGCGTACTACACATACATGCTCACACTCAACATATTTACCCTCACACACTCAGAGGCCTCCAAAAGCAGGCAGTAGGCTAGATGAAGCCCTGGCCTCTCAGATTCGTCCCTTCCTCCCTTAGCCAAATGCCTCCCCCACCTCCCTGCCAAGGCAACTGCCAACTGTCATGTCACCTTAGGGCCCTTCTATAATTGAGCTGACCACTGGGCCCCTGACCTGACCTAGCAATGATCAGGTCTGGGCAAAGCCCTGGAATTAATGTAACCACAAGGAGAAGACAAACCCTTCTGGGGTTCTCTGCCCTGTCCTGTTCCTCTCCCTGCCGAGCCTTCCACCTGCCTTGCTTGGGTCTAGCTCCATTCTGCTTGTATCTGCACTGACCAGGGGAGGGCTGGAGAGGGGCTCAGGCAATAGTGGGGCTGAGTGCTGCTGGCCCCAGGCAGAGCTGACCAGAGTGAAGCATTTTCTGTGGAGCTATTGCTTTTCTTTCTTTCATGTAGTCACAAATGAGCAGCATTCAGGAAGGCCTAGAAGGCCCACACTCATCCAGGTATCCGGGTTCGACCAAGTAGATGATGTTGTTGGGCAGCCTAGAAACACCCTGCATGTGAATACCTGCATTCTTAATTAAGGAGAAAGACAGCAAATAAGCCAGCTGGCAGGCTTCAGCATGGGTCAGATGGCCTGACTGTCTTTGAGACAGCACAGGCATTGAAAAAAGGATGACACTCCCTGGCTTTGGCCAAGTGGAGCAGAGGAGTGAATCAACGTGGACAAACTCTGAAGACACTATGCTCTGTGAAAGAAGCGGGTCACAGGACTGTATGTATCAGGTTGGTGCAAAAGTAATTGTGGTTTTAGCATTGTTGAAATTTCCCACTTGATATCAGAATACATTCTTAAATGTGGTTATGTTATACATCATGTTAATGCACATTTCTTGCTAATGACTTAGTACTTGCTGTTTATTGCGTATTTATTTTAGAGTATGGAATGTTGTTAGACAAAAAGAAAATTCGAGTGATTTTCTTATCCGAGTTCAAAATAGGTTGTAAAGCAGCGGAGACAACTTACAATATCAACAATGCATTTGGCCCAGGAACTGCTAACGAATGTACAGTGCAATGGTGGTTCAAGAAGTTTTGTAAAAGAGATAAGGGCCTTGACGATGAGGAGCCACAGTGGCTGGCCATCAGAAGTTGACAAGGACCAATTGAGAGCAATCATCGAAGCTGATCCTCTTACAACTACACAAGAAGTTGCTGAAGAACTCAGGGTTGACCATTCTACAGCCATTCGGCATTTGAAGCAAGTTGGAAAGGTGAAAAAGCTCGGTAAGTGGGTGCCTCACGAGCTGATCGAAAATCAAAAACCTTGCTGTTTTGAAGTGTCGCCTTCTTGTATGCAACAGAGACGAACAATTTCTTAGATTGTGACGTGACGAAAAGTAGATTTTATACAACGGGCGACGACCAGCTCAGTGGTTGGGCTGAGAAGAAGTTCCAAACACTTCACAAAGCCAAAGTTGCACCAAAAAAAGGTCATGGTCCCTGTTTGGTGGTCTGCTGCTGGTCTGATCCACTATAGCTTTCTGAATCCTAGTGAAACCATCACATCTGAGAATTATGCTCACCAAACCAATGAAATGCACCGAAAACTGCAACACTGGCAGCCAGCATTGGTCAACAAAAAGGGATCAATTCTTCTCCATGACAACGCCCAACTGCAGCTCACACAACCAACACTTCGAAAGTTGAAGGAATTGGGGTATAAAGTTTTGCTTCATCCATCATATTCACCTGACCTCTTGCCAACCACCTATCACTTCTTCAAGCATCTTGACAACTTTGTGCAGGGAAAATGCTTCCACATCCAGCACGATGCAGTAAATGCTTTCCAAGAGTGCATAGAATCCTGAAGCATGAATTATTATGCTACAGAAACAAACAAACTTATTTCTTGTTGGCATAAATGTGTTGAGTGTAATGGTCCATATTTTGATCACTAAAGATGTGTTTGAGACTAGTTAAAAAGATTTAAAATTCATGGTCCGAAACCGCAATTACTTCTGCATCAACCTAATACATATGTGTGGCAGTGTGAATTGTACATTTCTGTTTATATTAAGTGTCCAGAACAGGCAGATGCAAAAAGACAGAAAGCAGACTGGTGGTTGTCAGGACCTGGAGAAAGGAGAGAATGGGAAGCAAACACTAAACAGTATGGGGTTTCTTTCTGTGAAACAGGCATTGTGAAACATTACTACTAAAATTAGGCAGTGGTGATGGTTGCACAACTTTGTGATTATACCAAAAAAACCACTAAGTATTATACTTTTAAATAGGAGAATATCATGTTATATAAATCTTGATAAAAATAATCACCACCTTCTTTTTTACAGTGACTGAAGGCAGGAAATAGAACAAAGTAGTCAAGAGCAGAAGTTAGCAAACTACAGCCTCTGGGCTAAATGTGGCCTACTGCTTGTTTTTATCAATAAAAGTTTTATTGGAACATGGCCACGCCCATTCATTTAATATCACCTATGGTTGCTTTAGTGTAACAATGACAGAGCTGAATAGTTGAGATAGGAACCACATGGCAAGTAAAGCCTAAAATATTTACTGTCTAGTCCTTTCCAGAAGTTTGCTAACCCTTCACCAGGCTGGAGCTCAGTCTGGCTCTGCTATGTATTAACTACACATTTTTTCTCTGTGCGCATCTGTGTGTGGGGATGTGTCTGTGTCTGTGTGAGGATGCACGTGCCAGTGTGTGGGTGTATCCACTCCCTACCCCTAAATCGTCCAGTTACAATAATGTGAAATGAGTTAGGGCATATAGAGTGCTCAGGAGTGCCTGGCAACAGTGTGCACTCAAACGTTGGTCTTTTTGTTTCCAAGAGCAACTAGAGATCACCCCAAGGTCCTGCAGATGAGCTCCCATCACCTCCCTGCACAAACCCCTTCTTCCGCTGCCCTCTGCTCTGAGACAAAGGGCAAGTCCTACGCAGGACCCATTATACCCCGCGTGCCCTCTCTATGCTGTAGTCTCCTCAAGGACAGAACGTCCTGCCTGGCAAACTCAACATTCCTCAAGACTCAGTTGCAACATCATGTCTTCTGAGAAACGTCTCCTGACCTCTGTCCTCCACACCGCACCTCCAGCCTCCCTGGGTTGGCTCCCCCCAGCTCTACAGTCCCCCTACATTTGGATTATAGGCAGCTCCCATTCATACGAGCATTTACTTTACGTGTGAGCCTCCCCCACAGTCTGAGATCCTGGAGGCAGCTGTCAGGCCCTCCGTTCCCCTGTAGCATCCCTGGTGCCTGGACAATACCCATAGAAAGTGCACAGAAAAATACCCTGTTTACTGAGCACCCACATAGTGCTTAGCACTTTACATATTTCTCACCAAATCCCTGCAGTCCTCAGGGCAAGCATCACCCTCTCAAAATCACAGAGCAAAAAGCAGCGTCAGACCTCAGAGAGCTCATCTGATGAACAAATCAGTGGAGAAAGGAAGAGTCTCACAGATGCTCGAAAACAGTTGCTTTCCGCCCCCCATCCTGGGACTTGTGGCCACATCTGGGGACATTTTTGATTGCCATGCCTTGCCCCTGTGACTGCTATCATCTAGTAGGTATAGGCCAGGGATGCTGCTAAACATCCTATAATGCACTAGACAGCCCCTACCACAAAGAATTACCCAGCCCCGAACGTCAGTCAATACTATCTAGGATAAGAGACCCTGATCTAGAAAATATTTTTAAAAAGAAAGGAAGTGACCTACAGTAGTCAAAAAGGTCTCAAAGACAAGGTGAGAGCTGGTTTGGAGTTGGAGTTTGGGAAGATCATCATGGGAAAGACATCTTTTGCCTGTTACTTTCTTCAACAAGAATCTTAACCTACAAAATTTCCTTTACTTCATACAAGAGACCATTGAGAAGAATCCCAGCCCAGAACAAGCCACTATTTGACTCTGGTCATTCAACTCTGAAGATATTAGGACAGTGCATGAGCCTGCAGCACAGATGTACCTGTCATAGTCCACATACACATCCTCTGAGTCTGGACCAGGAAACCAAAACCAGCCCCAAGGGCCCAAACAGGGAGAAGCCCCCCAGCCAGCCTTTCCCAGCTTCCTAAGCTGGCTGCCTGAAGACATGCTTTACCAAGGACCCGCACCATGCACAGGCACAGTCTGCCTCCAGGGTCTGCTGCAGCTCTGGGCATGACAACTGGCTAGGACGCAATGCCACCAAGGGATGTGTTCTGCCTCTCCGACTTCCCCCCAGCACCAAGTTCACCCTCCTGACAGCCCTGAGTGGGAACAGCAGGGCTGGATGCAAGAGCAGACAGGAACAGAGAGATGCCCTAGTCATGGTGGGAGTGACAGCCTAGAAACAGGTGCAGGGTACAAACAGGCAGGGGGACATCCTCACCTTCAGAGTCTAGAGCCTGGATCTTCAGCTCCAAGGGTGAATCTTCCAAGTAGAGCTCGGGGGTGGTGGAGACAATCTGAATGTCGTGGATGAGGTCAACAATGGGATCGCAGTGCAGGAACAAGCCGGAGGCTGGAGGGAGAAACAGGGATGAGTCAGCACCAAGGACAGTGCCCCGGCCACCACTCCACCTGCCAGTGGTCTTACTCTGTGGCAGAGACTCTAGCAAGCACCAAATTCACCCTCGGAATCCAAGCAGCTGCCTGGCACGTGGCCCCCTGCTGACAGGTAACACTGACTTTCAGAAAGTGAGGGCTTCACAGACATTTCACAGCCCACCTCTTGCTCTTCCAATGGAAGCACCAGCATTTAAAGCTGTGTGCAAAAAATCAACTCCAGGAAAATGTAGTTTTGTTCAGGGTGTAGCAACTAAGTGAGGTGACAAGGGCTACGGTACAAGTTAGCATTCAAAAGAAGACAGTTCTGTCCTAAAGCCCTGTCCCTACACTGAGACTGGGAATTGCACTCGTGTTTTTGTTTCTTTTTTACTTGTGCTGGTGTTTCTCACACAAGATTATCAACTATACTATAGAAGGGTTGTGTGGACATGTGCACAGATTTTTTTTTTTACTTGCTCTAGAAGTCAGATACATGAATGGCATTACCTGAAGAACTCTTAAGTGTAAGTGTAGCAGCATGTGATAAAAATTACTCTGATCATTCTCTAGGTGTTACAAAAAAATACCTGCGCATAATGCTGTTTTGTTGGGAAGCAATACGGACTCCATGTATCCAAAGCCTTAAAAACATCCATATGCTGTGATCCAGTAAAACTGGGAATATATCCTAAGAAAGAAGCTAAAAGAACTCCAACTTTCTCTATATAAAAACATTTATTTTTATATATAACACTGAAAGGAACATCTGAAAACACTCTCAATGCCCAATATAAGGGAGATGCTTATAGGGCAACCTCCTGTTAAGAATATTATTTGGCATTAAAAATAATTCTATAGCAAAATGGAAAATGTCCTAGCATGGGTGGGGAAAAGCATGATAGAACATCACATGGTTGTCCAAGCATTTTACAGCCATAATACGGTAAATTACATATGAGGAAGGAAAAGGTGTGATTTCGCGGAGTGAGACAACTGTCATTATGATCAGTTGATACCCTTTAGGGGTAGGTAACCAGTGATGATTTGGAAATGCTGAAAGCTAGCTGCCACAAGAGCACTAACAGCACAAAGTGCTGGCATGTGGGCCAGGATGGCAGCTGCCTGCTGGGCATCCGCCTCCCACCCAGCTTGCCTTTCTTTGCTGTCACAATATCAAGGTGACACATTTCTATACCATATTGTGATGTGTGATGAAAAATGGATTCTTTTTGACAATCACAAGCTTTTGGCACAGTAGTTGAATCAAGATGAAGTGTCAAAACAAGAGTCTGAAACTGAATATTCATCAAAAAAGCTAATGGCGTCTGTTTGGTGGTCCAGCACTGGTATTATCTACAATGGCTTCACGAAACCTGATCAATCCATTACAGTGGATGTGTGCTGCAACCAATTGGATGAAATGATGAGGATGCTGTGATTAAACAGCCAAGATTGGTCAAGAGACACAGGCCAATCCTCTTGCAAGATAATGCTCAACCACATGTCGCACAAACAGTGCTGCTCAAACCACAGAGGCTGGACTTGGAAACTCTCTGTCATCCAGCATATTCACCAGACCTTGCATCAGCTGGCTACCACTTCTTCCAAGCTTTGGACCACTACTTGCAAGGAAAAATATTCCATTGTCAACAAGTTGTGGAAAACACCTTTCGTGACTTAACTGCCACTCACTCTCCAGGCTTCTTTGCTGCTGACATAAACAAGCTCCCTGTTAATATGGCAAAGCTATTGATAGTTTGGGTGCATACTTTGATTAACTGTACTGCTTGCTTTTGGTTTGAGATATAATAAAGTGCACTTTTAATTCAAAATTGGACATTTCATATTTAACGACCTCATTCGCAATTAAAAGAAAATACAACCTATAGGATTTCTGCTTTCAAGGTGCTATTGACACTTTTAGAGCCTAAAATCCATGCAATTCTCAAGAACTTTTTTCTAGTCATTGAAAATAATGTGTATAAGCTGGTTACTGCAAAAATTGCTGTTTGTGTGTCTATGTGTCTAACGAATCCATCTTGCTAATAATAAGTTCAGTTAGCATTTATTATGGTGTATGTTTCTTCCATACCCAATTGATTTCATGATAGTTTTGATGTTACCTGGGATAACTGTAAATATGCCACCTTATCCTTTACAATGAACCTTTGTGCTATACATTTAACACCATTACATTAAAGATACTTGATAAGTACTTTGCAAAAATGCATAATATACTCTATGTGGTGTATCGCGTTCCCATCCCAATTCAATCTACTAGATCATACCTACTACAAGTGAAGGGGAAACCGTTGGGTGTTGGGACGCGGCCACTCGCTGCCGCTCCACATCCCTGCAGGCCAGTGTTGTGCGGGGTCATCTGGAGGCTGCGGCGGGTGCACGCTACTGGGGCCGGGCCTCGTGTCCCTGCAGGCCAGTGCCATGCTGAAGTCTGCTGTCCTGGCCCACACACCAATGTCTGGTGTCCAGCCTGCGCTGGGTGCTCAGCCACCTGCTCCTGTCATCCCGCCACACTGCTTGGGTGATCCTGATTGGGTAATTTTTGAATCCCACTGTTGTTGATTGGATGTTAAAGTTTGTTGCTGATTGGATGTTAAAGCTTGTAGTTGATTGGACGCTTTCTGAGTCCTACCAAGGGTATAAAAGCAGCAGGAAACCAAGGAAGGGGGGGAGTTAGAAGATGGAAGACAGGAAGAGAGCTGTAACAGTTGCTGGGTTGAGCCTGCTGGCTGAATAAAGACTGTTCTCCAACTCTTTGTGTGCCACTGGGTTCTTTCCCCGGTCAAGAGCTGTAACACTAGCTGTACACACTTGCCGTAACATAAGAACCAACCAAAAGCATAACAGTAAAACAAAACCTTAGAACATTCCTCTTGAGCATAGACAAAGAAATCCTTTACATAACACCAGTAAACAGAATCCAACATACAGAAAGATTATATACCTTGATCAAGTGAGACTGTGCCACAAATATGTAGTTTATGTAGCATCAAGAAAATGACTAATGTATCCATCATTCACACCTATACTTTCAAAAGTGTCCTCATTTTCATGAATATGCCCGTGTGCGTTGTGGTATGTGGACTTAACATGAATAAATGTATTATTTGGATTGTGGTGACGTATTACAGGTGATATATCCAATTGCATGAAATTGAACACAGTAAACATAAAGGGGTTTTTGTGTATCAGATCTTAAAGCTGTTTACAACAACTTAACATATGTCTCTAAAATTAAGGAAGCTAAAGATGTAACAATCTCACACAGAAAAGAGCATTTCACTAAATCCATCCTATGATTCAAATCTTAAACAAACTAGGACTTGAAGAGAATTTCCACACCCTGATAAAGAGCATCTGTAGGACCAATAGAACACCTATAGTAAACAACAGACTTACTGGAAAGAATGTTTTCCCCCTAAGATTGGAACAAGATACAGACATTCACTTTTAGTACTCCCAGTCAACACTGCACTGGAGGATTCTGTTAAAAACATCATTCAAGGAAATACGAAGAAAAGGACTCCAGATGGCTATTGAAATAGGAAAATTGCCATTTGATGACCAAGACACAATTTCATATGTAAAAAATCTTGAGGATATCACTAAAAACCTGCCTCAAATAATACATTAGTTTAGCAGTTTTTCAGGGTACGAAATCAAGATAAAAATGTCAATTGTATTTCTGTATGCCAGCTATGAACATCCTGAAAATATAACTTATAAGACAATATTTTGGTTCAAAATAGAACCAAAAAGCACAAAAACATAGGGATAAAGTTTTTAAAAATATGTAAGTTTTAAATTGAAGGAAAAAAACCCACTTTTCAAAGTACAACAAAAAAAAATATCACATTTTAAAAGATCAGGTAATAATTTTAGCAGCTGCCTCTTGCTCCTCCACCCACAGGCCTGGAGTCTCCTATGAGGGCTCAGGCAGGCGGCTCAGGAACTTCCTCCTCCCTAGCTGCACGGAGCAGAAGGCTGGGCCAGAGTGCCAGGCCCATGGGAACCCACGAGCAGTGGCAGGTGAGAGCCTGGCCACCTCTGCCCTGCATGAGAACACCTGGGACCGCAGGATCTGTGGCAGGGTCCAGCGAGTCACACAGAGGCAGGTGCACTCCCAACGCCTTCACTTGGTAATCATCCTCAGGTCCGCTGGGCCAGCCCCAGCCCTCCCCCTATCCTGCTGGCTCCGCACGGTGAAGACTTCCCTGTGCGAGGCTGCCAGGCTATGGATGGGAGCGTGACTCCATGCCCCGCATCCTCCGTTTGGGAGCTGGCTATCTTCAGGCAGTATGCACCTGGTGGCCACCCACCAGGCCACCCCTCTCTTCACCACTGCCCAGAGCCTGGCAGCATGAGCGGGGCGGGTGACACCAGGAGCACCGTGCAGGGCTTGGCTGGGGGCCTGTGTGGGCCTGTGTAGGGTGGGGCCGGTGAACTCCTTTCCTGCCCTGTCCAGTGGCCCCTCCTAGACATTTTCCCCGGTTCCTCTGGACTTTGAAGGCCAGTGGCCACCACACCACTAGGGCATACCCCTAGGACATCTATCCCTCACCTTCACATGGCATTGCAGGTGCACCCCCTGGGGAAGAAGACACCTCAGTCCGAGAAAGAACAGTGGAGGATGTGGTGGGTGTCACCTCACAGCGGCCCTCACAGCGGCCCCTGGAGTGCAGAGCCTGAGCTTCACCTGATCTCCTTACATCCATTCTGCAACATCTACCCCGCTTTGGCTGAAGCTGGCCAAGAACTGGGGGCCACCCAGGGTCAGGGCCTGGGGACATCATGCCAGATCCAGCTCCCTGCTGTGTCCTCACATATGAATGGTGGTCCTCGGGATCCAGGTGTCACACAAACCCCTCCGGGGAAAGCAATAGCCGAATCCAGCCACGGTGCTACTTGACCCTGGGTGCCACTCACACAGTGTGACCTCCCATTCTGGGTACCACAGCCTCTTCACCGCAAAGGACAGGGGCCTCTCACACGGTCCTTCCTTACCTGCTGCTCACCAAGGGTCCCTCCTGCATGGCAGCTAAGTCCTTCCTTTCCTTCTGGTCACTCCGAGAGGCTATGATTTGTGCCACGGTCGTGTGGGTGAACATGACCCCAGCCATAGCAACCAGGGTGGAAGCCACAGCACCCCCTGGAGTCTGAAACGAACCTCTTTAAATTACCTGCCAGGTGTGCTCTGGCCGATAAAATGGCGAACGTAGGCACGGGTAGGCCAATTAGGACCTCCCACATTAGGATGTAGTGTTCAGCAATAACTATTCTGATTGGATAAAAAAAACCTAAGAGTACAACTCTGATTGGATAATCCAATCCAATCAGAATAGGTATTCCAGAAGAGGACATTTGAGAAGAGCAACCTAATAGACCAATTCTGATTGGATAATGACATCCAATCAGAATGGGCATTCCAGAACACCTTATTTGAATACAGGAGGCTATAAATAACCAGCCCAGGCATAAGCCTGCCACGTCTTCCACTGTGCTTTTTTGCCTTGTTGGCTGAGGTGTCTACCCCCGGGTGTACCTGGAATGCCATGTGAAGGTAAGGGATGGATGGATGTTCTAGGGGTGTGCCCTAGTGGTGTGCGGCCACTGACCTTCAAAGTCCAGAGGAATAGAGAGACTGTTCTAGGAGGGGCCACAGGGCAAAATGTCAGAGATATCAGCTGTGAAACTTAGTACTTAAGGAAATTGTACACTTCACACTTAATAACCTAATATTTTATTTAGCTATATACTATATACTAAATATTGTCATTTGAATAGGTGAACAATGTAAAAATGTTAATGAGATATTTTACTTTTTCTGTTCTCTCTGACTCTTCCAAATGTGGTATGTATTTTAACACCTGCAACGCATCTCAGTTAAGAGGCCTCCATTTGAAGTGCTTGGTGGCTAGTGGCTGGGTATCTGGCCTCTACCTACCTTTGCCGTCTTCTCCTGCTACACCTTCCCATTTCTATAATTTCCCAGTCTGCCACATATATCAAAACTTTTGCCATCCTGTGACCTTCTCTTGCTCTTTTGCCCTATGCCTTTTGCCCTTGTTGGCTTGGCATGCACTTCTGTACATGAACTTTTATTTATCTTTTAAACCCAGAAGAAGTGTTTTCTGCGTGTCTTTCCTTTCTGTTTTCTTTTATCCCTCCACTAGTACTTTGTATTTCAAACACAGCGCTAGGTGTATTGTATTCTAATTATTCACTTAGAGGTCTTCACCATAGAGATCAGTTGTAAAGGCAAGGACATGTTTTGGCCACTTCTGTGGCTCCTGGTAAATGTGTGAATGAGTGAACAGGGGAACGAGTACATTGAAACTTGCTTTAATGTGATGTTGGGTGGTTCCAATTTCTATTCTGCTACATGCAGGATCCTGCTCCATTCCAAACTGCTTTTGTCCCTCGACTTTGGATGTTTAAGTGGCAAAGTTTGTACTTAGCTGGGCTTTCTGGGTCTCTTCATGTGCTGTTTTCTTTTTCTACCTATATTCTCATGTACTTCCTGTATCAGCCAACATGTATACTCAGATCCTTATCCAATGCCAAAAAACATTGAGAACCTAAATAGGTTGATTAAACACACACACACACACACACACACACACACACACACACACTGCTCCGCAGCCCTCCCAAATAAAGTGCAACCTATGCAATGTATGTCAAAAAGGAAACAAACACAACCTTTTGGAGTTTGGAGCAATCCAGGATACCATTCTTCTCTACTGGCTGTTATAATCTGCTCTTATAAAATCAAGGATTGGAAAAATGGAGTTTAATGAATTAGAGAGTTGCTCTGGTCTGCATTTGAGGCACCTGCTGTGGTGACTCGGTAATGGTGGCAGCAGGTCACATCCCTGGGATGTATGTCATGGTATGGATGAAAGATCAGAGAGGTCTGGCTTAATCCTAGTTCCGTCACCTCCTAGCTGTGTGAACTGCACTGGGTGACAACCTCTCAGACCTCAGTGTTCTCACCTATAAAATGGGTATATTAGTGGTACTGCCCCTCACAGATGTTCTGAGGATTAACTGAGATGTAGGCACCCAGAGACCAGAGTTGTGGCATCTCCTTTGGTGAGAGTCATAAGAATCAGTCTTGCTTTACCTAGAGGCATCTGCATGTAGCATTCCCTAGCTTTAAGACTTTTCCAAGGCTGTGTCCAGAAAGTCTCTGGGGTCAAGATTCCGTGGATTCATTTTTCTCTGAGCTTCCAGTGGGTTTTGTGTTAGTGACACACACACACACAGAGTCTAGCGGTTGGATGAGGTCATGATCAAAGCTGAGAGAAAATCCTCCGGGCTTGTTCCTCTTTGCTCTCTACCTGCCCTGGCCTGGGTTTCATTCCTGAAAAGCCGTCTCCCCTTTCTGTCTCTGTCTGCTTGCTGCCATCGTGTCTCTGTGGCTCCGTCTGGCAGCATCCCTGTGCCAACATTCCTCAGCAGTCCAACAAAACTGGTCCCCATCCTATCCCCTGTCCCTCAGAATAGCTCCACTGCGGTGACTAGAACTAAGAAATTGGTGTCAGCGATTCCCATTGTACCCTCTTGTCAAATGAGGGTGCTCCCCTTTTGCCTGGAACCCCATCCTCCTCCTCTGACTAGCAATGTCACTCCTCAAATATCAGGACCCACAGGCCAGCAACCCTATGAATCTGTCATGCTCTACTCAGGCCCAGTCAGGCCCTTGCTCTTTTTGTGATTCGAAATACTTCCTATTTCCCTTTAACTCTTTTTTTATCCTTTCATTTAGTCAACATTATTTACTGAAAACCAACTACATGAGCACTTATTACATTGAATTTTAGGAAGACATTGAATTTTATTGTTCCCCAGTGAACAGTGAAATTTGTCCCTCCCACTTTCCCCCTTCTTCCCTCTCTCACTTTATCTCTTCCTCGTTTATACTCCAGGTGCCAGCGCACAACCAGTACATGGCATGTTCTAAATAATTACTGTAATGCCTTTTTTTTTCAGCATGAACCACAAAAGAGTCATAAATGCAGAAAATGGCAGCCCCCCCTCCTTAAAACAATTAATATTTTTAGTTGGTCAGAACTGGCTTAGTACCCTTCAAATTACACCCCAGTTGACCATGTACTTGACTATAAATCAGAATGGATGTACATCTATGGCTACTTTAACTTAAGATGTTGTAGCAAAATAACCAGATAATTCAATAACCAGATAATTGAAAAAAAAGTGCAATCGATTTTTTGTGTGTGGGAGTAAAACTCAGGGGAAGTGAAAGTTACAATATGGACTTTGGCTGTTTCATCTCCCTGCTTTAAAAAAAAAATTAATCTCCCATTCCCGAAATGCAGTGATTTCCAGTTTATTGAGTGGACTTCAGTTGTTTAAAAGACGAAACATAACAAAAGAAAACAAAACAAAACTCAAGAAACTCCAGTCTGTGTACGTTACTCATAAATGCTGTGTGTCCTACTTCAGTAATAAGTCATTTTCATTTTATACGCACACAAATAGAAACTTAATAATAATGAGAAGAGGTAAACATAAATAAGTGTCTATGGGTATCTTCCTGTACCCCAGGGGGTGTCCTCCTGGGCTGTGTTGTCTCACTTTGAGGAGCACTGATTCATCCTGACATACACTGCCTCTTGCCACCTGGCCCCACAGCTCTGGGACAAACTCTCTATCCTAGTCAGTCTGCTTTACTCACATCTGTACACCTTCCAGTCTGTCTCTTTTTCCTGCCTTGATTCATGCCATTCCACCTTCTTTCTCCTCTCCTCTTTGCATCACTCGAGATCCTTCCACTTCAGAAAACCTTGGGGAAACTGAGGCCCAAGAGATGTGGTTCCTGTGCAGGTTAGAGGCTGGGAGGAAGACCCAGGCACTGAATCTGGATTCATTCTGTTCCAGCAAGTTCTCCAAGGTGGGCAAGCCATGATCACTGCCCTTGAAGTGTTTGGAGGCCAGAATGATATTTGAATAAACGATGAAGTTGGTTGGATTTCATGTTATAATCTGGTTGGATAAGCTCAGACTCTGAAATTGGACATGTCTTGATTCAAAGCTTCCCCAAATAACCAACTTCCCATGTTACTTTAAAGCAAGACTTTATCTTTCTGAGCTTTAGTTTCTTCCTAATATGTACCTTATAGGTCTGTTGCATGGATCAAACAAGATGATGTAAGCAGGGTCACCCACTCCTGGACTTTGCTGATTTTAATCCTGAAAGTCCGGTATCCTGGGAGTCTAATAAGTCCCAGGCAAACTGGGATGGCTTGTCACCCTAAGTGTGGGGAAGCTGTCTGGAGAGTCCTGCCACATAGTAGGTCCTCCATAAATGTTTCTTTTTCCTGCTTCTCTTTTCAGACATTCTATTTTCTTACATCCTTGATTCTTTTTTCCTTTTCTCCCCCCTTCCATCTTATTCTAAGAAGTCTGACTTTCAGTCCTGGCTGAGAGGATAACATCACAGTGCTGAAGGTTTGTCTCTTCCTAAAAATTGAGCATTTTCCTGGGAGACCTTTTATTAAGTACCAAAGAAATAAATATATAATGATAAAATTTCAGACATGGCAAGAGGGCTGCAGAAAAATCTTGGAGAGATCTAGGCCAATGTCTATAAGAGTAAAAAAAAATCTTGGAGAGAGGCTTTCCTCTTTCACTAATTCTGCAAAGTTTTTTGAGTGTTGCTGTGTGCTAGGCTCTGGGGTAGGCACCAAGGAGACTGTAGTGAACAAATAGAGCCAAGCCTGCCTTCCTGTTGGCAGACTGGTGAATGCCAGTCTCTCACTGACCTTGTTTTAAGGGGTGATGACACTTTATCATGAACTCTCAAACAAAAACTCTGGAATCATTTGTCCTTACATTTTCCCTCATTCCTCACTAAAAGGATTATCTCTCTGGGGTGTTAAAGATGCACTTTTCTCAAGATGCTTTTCAGAACTGAAGGAACATAGGCAAAGTGATGAAGGAGTGAAAGGCTTGCTGAGAATTTAGCAGGGTTGTCAGACCATGACACAAATGTCCGCTAAGCCATCTGGGGCACTTGAAAAACATTCCGTGTTCGTCTTTTGTGGACTTCGTGTCCCATCTCTTGTGCAAAAAGCGTGAGCTGTGGCCTCTGTCAGTGTTTTTGCTGGGTCTCCTAAGGAGTGCTCCATTCTGATCCGATATGTCATGGTTAGAACTGCACCAAGGGGCAGCCTGGAGAATTTCTGGGACTTGAAGCACAGCTTAAGCCCCAGGCCAACAGCTGGACCAAGTGCTACAGTTCGAATTGTTTTTGTATACTGAGGCTAGGAGAGAAATAGAGAGTAAAGAGTACCTTTGGCCTTATGGTCATTCTTCTCTGGGATGGGACTTTGGTAGTTGTTCTAAATCAGCAGTCCCCAACATTTCTGGCACCAGGAACCAATTTCATGGAAGCCAGTTTTCCCATGGACTGGGCGGGCTGGGGGGGCATGGTTTCGGGATGATTGGAGCACATAACATTTGTTGTGCAGTCAAACCTCTCTGCTAATGATTGATAATCTGTATTTCCAGCCGCTCCTGCCTCAGCTCCACCTC